TTTCACGGTAGCACCCCGAATCAGTTTTCGCAAAGTAAAAAGGTTTTATTTTTCAAAGACTTTGCGAATTATTGCGCAACTCTGATTTTACAGTAAGGTGGGGTGTTACAAAAAGGCTCGGTTCAATCGCAATGTTAAAATAAATTAAACCGGATAACATATATATATATATATAAATATATATTACACAAAATAATTATTTAATAATAATAATCATTTAAACAATTAGTGACAATTAGACATTTAATAATAATAATAAGCAAATAATAATTAGACAAATAATATCAAGAATAATAATATTAATAACAGTAAATAATAGTTGAAAAAAATCCATAACTAAACGAAGAATTACAGTCTACCCACCTTAATAGAAATTTCGTCCTCGGTATTCGAAAATAATTCATCCAAACTCTAACATCAATCGAAGTCCGGATGTCTCCTATAGTCTCGCCCTTAGTATCCCCAGTCGCTTCGGACTTGTCGTGCCGGCTACATTACATCCCGACAAGATCAACTGCTCGGGTCCTCAGCTGATGAACCTTCTGGTCCAGTACGAACACCGGTACCTACTCATAGGTAAGGCCTCTCTCAACCTGCAACTCGACGAATTCCACCAAGTGTTCGGGGTCATGCACTCCGACAACACAGGCTTTAACGCTAACCGGTAGGCCAAGTCTTTGACTCGTGCGAGATTCTGAAAGGGTCCGATATAGCAAGTGTAACGCCCCGTTCGTTTATGAATAAATTGGATTATTTTATTATTATTATTATTGTTGTTATTATTATTATGTGTTCATTTATATTTAATTGTCTAATTGCCTAAATGATTTAATGTGCTTAATATGTATTAAGTGTAAATAATATATGTCTAATTGTATTAAATGCCTATTATTATTATAAATATTATTGTGTGTATTATATAAATATATATGTATTTCAGTTAATTTATTTTTACTGAACCGTTCAATCGGGCCGAGCCCAAATATCCGTAAGTCGAATCGTTGGAGAATTCGACTCAATGGATGTCCATATATTTGGCCCCTTTGGCTATGTTATTTATTTTGGCCCACTGTGGTATATTAAATGACCCAATGTCTTGTATTATTCTTAGCCCAAAGCATCATTCATATCTGGCCCATTTTATTTGTGATTTCCTTGGCCCATGGGAATTAAAAATCTCGGCCCGTTAAATGATCAATTTGTTAGTCTGTATGCCTTTTTATTTGTCTGCTCATGAGAATTGAGACCAAGTCCTTCCTCCTTCCCGTTCAAACAATCTGTTGCGATATTTTGGCAAAATATCCTCGCCAGTCGCACGTTCTGTTCTCTCTCGATTAATACTCGGTCATTGCAGAAAAATCAGTATTTCATCTTCGCCATCGTCCCATCTCTCTTTCGTTTTTTTTTTATAAATTCTTGCAATTATTCAAGTCACCGTCAACCGTCATCGTCGAGCCACCATCGAGGCGAGAACTCTGAAGCAACCTCTCCGTCTGTGCGTTAGTCGAGGAACACAGTAGTTCAGCCTCAGTCGTCGATGAGATTCGTCAATCGTTCATTCGTCGAGGCTTCGGTCCTGAGTTTCGTCGTCCCTTTGTTCTGTTTGTCTCGTTTGTTTTTCAACCGAGAGTGTTGACTGAACCGTCCTTGTTTTAATCTTTACTCGAGTATCATGATGTAGGATTTATCGTGCTCGTTGAACCGGTTATCGTTAGTTGTCGTATTTTATATCGGATTGTATTCATTTTGTTTGCTCTTTTGATGTCTTGTGAATTTACGTGGATAGAACTCTCGTATACATTATGTCGAGTCTTGATTTGCTGTGTAATATTCCCGTGAAAATTTGGAGTTTCGTTTATTGTTTTTCCTGAGCCATTTTCCGAGAAAAAGCCGATTTTTATAAATGTTCGAACTCTGTAAATGTTGTATTTTCGAAAATTTATTAGTTTCTCGAATTCCAATTATCATTGGATATCTCGTCGTTGAGTTCGGTCGAATTTTTCCCAGTTGTGTTCGCCTTCACGCAGACTTTGTTCTGTTTTCCCGAACTCTGTTTTTTTTTTTTAGTTCAGTCGCAGGTTTTTTTTTTTTGTTTAAATTTAGCTACTGATTGTGCAGAATAAGTTGGAAGTAGCGCATGTAGCCTAGTGGTGTTATTCTGGCTTTGGGTGCGATAGGTCGCGGGTTCGATCCCTGTAGTAGCCAGTTTTCCTTTTTAATTTGTTTCCAGCAGCGCGCGGGCCATAGGGCCCGAAACCAGCCCGTGTGCGGCCCGCTCTCCGCAGCTGCAGCCCGCAAGCCCATTGTCCAGCCTGCACGCACTACAGCCCTTAGTATTAGGCTAGACCCTTCAACTGTGGCCCAATTTATCCATTTTCTTGGCAGCTGGCCCAAATGTGCCTTTTGGCCTATTTTGAGTTCCGGAACCCGTTTTTCGTACCGATTTCAATTTTAAAAATTATTTTTCAAATGAGAAAAATTTTATAAAATTATTCTAAGTCCCGAGATTCCAATTTTAGTTCTCCGAGTCATAATTTTTCAAAAAATGAGAGTGTTCCAAGTCCACGAAAATCCGATTAAAACCCTTAAGACTTAATTTTTATTAAGTATGGATTTTATGTTAAATTTGAGTAGTGAGATAAATTATCTCGTTTAAATGTAGGTGTTTGAGGAGTTGAGCCTCATCCTACGTACTTGCTCTTGTGTGCAATTTTCTACCGAGCTATCCAGGTGGGTTCTAATCTAAAATTGTCTATGCCATACGTGTTGTTTAATGTTTAGTTGGTATGACCAATGTATGAATGTGAACCATGTGGCCTACCGATGTGAGCTGTTATGGTCGTCGGTACGGTTGTCCCTATCGAGTTACGGTACGATTGCCCTTGCGAGGAAAGTCTCTTTAAGACCTAATGAAAGGTCGTGTCCGTTACAGTGGCACGCACTCCCGTCGTTACGGTTTATGCATCCCCTTTCCGCGGCTAATGATAGATGTGCACATGAGTGAGTTATTATTGTGATTGTTAGGAGATGAGACATGATGATGATTGATTTATATTCATGCTGCGACCATACCATCTTTACATGCTATTATGTGCATAGTAGTGATCACTACTTTATCATTTGTGCTCATTCCCACCTGCTCTTCACGGATGCAGGTTAAGCAGTGGCCAGGTGACGGGACGAAGGACGAGTGGTAGTCTATTATTTGTTTCATTTTGCTTTTGCATTAATAATATGGTCGTTATGAACCTTTCTATGCTTTGGACATGTGAAAACTGTTTTCGAACTATGTTTTGATGTTTTAAAATATTTTGGAAAACCTTTTATGAACCTTGAATAATCATGGTGTTTGATTTATGAAGTTTCAATTGTTCATATTAGAGATTATGTTGAGGTGTGAATCAGGTTAATGAAAACCTTGTGAAAAATCGGGTTTATGAATCCCCGTGAGTCCAGACAAGACTTGAACTAAGTAAAATGTATTGGTTAATGCCCTTGATTTTGAAAATGAATTCAAAAAATTTGTTCTGATTTTTTTGGAAGTCCGGAATTTCTTTAAAATCCAAGTGGGGTGTTACAGTTTGGTATCAGAGCCAGTCTGCGTTTCTGTAGACTGGCGCATATGGGATTATGTGTTTAGACCTTGTGTTATGACCACTCGTCTCCGTCACTACGCGCTGCTTAAGGTATGTTTTGTTTAAGTATTAATGAAAATACTTGATATGTAAATGGTACACTTGTGGTAATGAAACTACTTGTGGTGAAATTGTTAACTTTTGGGGCTTAGGATCTATCCACCTTGATTTAATCGAACTCTAGTGTTTATTGGCGAACTCTAGACTTATATAAGTATTGATTATTTTGTTTGTTTTTGTGCTAAACCTTGTTCGCTTATTCAATGTAGAAGTATGAATACTCGCAACAACCGCAACCGTCAGGCATCCCCGCAACCTTCCCTGCCCCGTCAGCACCAGGCCCCTCCGGCCATGGATCTTACTCAGCTTATCATCCAGTTTCAGAGGATGAATGCACCAACTTTCGCGGGGACTGAGAACCCCACAGCGGTGCTGGAGTGGATCAAAGAACTGGATAAAATCTTCGCTGTGCTTTCCCTCCCTGATCGTCAGCGAGTGTCCCTTGCAGCTTATCAGATGAAGAAGGATGCTTCCGACTGGTGGATTGATCACTGGGCTCAGAGGCCGGAGGCGGAGCTTCATGCACTCACTTGGGAGCAAATGAAGATGATGGTGTGTAGCAAGTTCCTTCCCCAGAGCTTTTGGGACAGAATGGAGCATGAATTTTACCATTTGCAGCAGGGAAGCTCCACCGTACCTTCACCTGGATGTGCCTTTTTGCAGGCGACTCAGTGAATACCGATGCCAAGAAGGCCCGCAAGTTTCTTAAGGGGCTCAATCAGAGGATCCGTGAACTGGTGGGAAGTCACGGACTGATGTCTTTCGCAGATACTGTTAGTCGGGCTCAGGAGGTAGAGAGCTGTCTCATTCCGATAGCCCCAGTCCCTTCATATTATCATGCCTCCCAGCCTTCTCAGACCGTTGCTCAGTACGCTCAGCCTATCTCATCTGTGCCGCCCGGCTCTATCTCGAGCAAGAGGAAGTCTGAGTATCAGAACAAGAAAAAGGGAAAGAAAGGAAACTTCGGCAGACGTGACGACCGACCCACTCAGGGTCAACAGCCGAGGTGCCCTAAATGCGGCAGGTTCCACACCAGAGAGTGCTTAGCAGACCAGCGAGCTTGTTCCAACTGCAACCGTCTGGGACACTATGCCAGTGTCTGCACCGAACCGAAGAGACAACAGCAACAGCAACCCTTTCCCCAGCAGCATCAGCAACAACTTCCCCCCCCCCC